AATTAAAGAGAGGGGGGAAACCCCACAACTTTCTACATATTAAGAGTCTTTCTCACCCTCTCATGACACCCTTATGAGGTAGACCAGAAGGTATTTTTGTCATGCTCCCCAACCCTCCCTTCCCCTCACAGTGAAAATGAGGCTTAATGAAGCAGATGATGTGCTGACAACCCAGACGGTGACGGGGCTCCTTCGCGGGTTTCAGTGACCTTCCACGACCTTCCCCGACTCCACTCCCCGCCCACCTCCCTTTGCCGCTGCTATTTCTGTGAAGCACGTCCAACATTCACTTCCTGCTTCTCCAGGATGTCACAGTCCAGCTCGTACAGACTCGTGTCTTCCTTCCTCTTCTCTTACTTCACGGTTCGTCTAAGCCTGACAAGATCTTCAGTCCGTCTTCAATCTCCAGACTTTCTGAATCCTAAAAAAACTATGACGTCTGCTCAAAAAAAAAAAAAAAAAAAAATGCACATAAAGATCCCCATGGAAGTTTCCATGCAGTTGCCAGAGGTCCAAGCACCTCCAAAAGCATGGACACAGATACCCGGCTGATAACCTTACCCTACATGTTTGCCTCCTCTCCAATAAATTTTGAGTCTTTTCTCTTCCATTTCCCCCACAGCTTCTTTCTCTGCAATACATATGCTGTCCTCCACTGTACTGACTCAAGGAAGGTCCATGCTTTTGAGGAAGTGTCCTTTCTTCACATCTTGTCCCGCTGTTTTATGCCACTTCCTGTCTGATCCTTCCAGCAGTCTTTCTCCTAGCCTTTACTTCTCAGGAAACTACTAAGACTCCTGCGTTCCAGGGGGGCCTGGGTGGCTCAGTCAGTTAAGCGACTGACTTTGGCTCAGGTCGTGATCTCGCAGTTCATGAGTTCAAGCCCCACGGCAGGCTCTGTGCTGACAGCTCAGAGCCTGGAGCCTGCTTGGGATTCTGTGTCTCTGCCCCTCCCCTGCTTGCTCGCTCTCTCTCTCTCTCTCTCTCTCTCTCAAAACTAATAAATAAATATTTTAAAAATATTTTTTTAAAAAAGACTCCTGATTCTATCATGCACATTCAAACTGGTTGTGTCTTTATTTTCTATAACTGTGGCCCCCCCCACCTAAACACACTAGGCTGAACTCCCGCTCAATAGGAGGCTTGGAGATAGTTGATAGAATGCAGGAGAAAATGTAACGGAGGTATGCTCTCTTTTTTTACATGAGTAAAAAAAGATAAAATCAGACCATTAAGTGCAAATGTGACACGTTACTTTACCAACATAGAGCAGTATAGGCTTCTTGGGGAACATAGAGCAAAGGGTCCTAAAGCAAGTTGCTGAATGGGCTCTGGGGCTTTGAGGAGGTGAGGGGAGGCTGCTGGGAGAATGGCACGTCCAGCAAAACCTGAAGAATGAGCAGGGGCCGGTCAAAGCAGGTGGGAGCAAGATGAAACTAGGCAGAGCAAAGAGCTTGTCGGCATCCTGCATCATCAGAGTGGGCTTGGCTGAGCGGAGAGCCTGCAGAATCCCAGGCTGTGCCCAGCTCCGAGCCCGAGAGGGGACAGGCAAGGGGTGAGGAGACACACCAGCCAGATCAGACCATCCTGCAAGCCACCAAAAAGACTGTGCATTATACAGCAAGGACAATAGGACCCGATAAAGGGCTTTTAACAGATGAGAGACATGGTCTACTATGAGGCAGGGGCTGAAAGCTTATTTCACTTTTTGAATTAAGTTTTCGGTTATACGATACATTCCCATGTTTGCAAAAACCAGAAGGGCATTCAGTAAAAGGTTTTCCTGGCCCCCAGTTCACTTCTCCCCTAAATAGATGTCAAGTTTTCCTAGTTCTCAAGAGTCCTTTCTGACTTCTTTGGTGCTTATACCAGCTAATATGACTATAAATTGTTATTTTGTCCATATATGTTCAAAAAGTAATATAGCATGCCCTGTTCTGTGCCTTTTTGAGATAGCTCTCAGCTCTTGAATACTGTTGATTCAGCTCTTATATCAGTATTCGTATTCATATTCTTTTTATTTATTTATTTATTTATTTTCAATTTTTTTTTTAACATTTATTTATCTTTTTGAGACAGAGAGAGACAGAGCATGAACAGGGGAGGGTCAGAGAGAGAGGGAGACACAGAATCCGAAACAGGCTCCAGGCTCCGAGCTGTTGGCACAGAGCCTGATGTGGGGCTCGAACTCACAGACCGTGAGATCATGACCCGAGCCGAAGTCAGACGCTCAACCGACCGAGCCACCCAGGCGCCCCCATATTCATATTCTTTGCCTTTAACAAATGTAGGTCTCTCCTCCCCTACTTCTGAGCTTCTGAGGGGCAGGGGCTGTGCCTTATTCAATTTTGCATGGGGTAGATGTTCAGTAAAAATCTGCTGATTTGAAGCAGGTGATGAAAAAGTATCTTTGTTGAATAAATCAGTCACTATTGGAAGGAGCAAACGCTGCCTCTGGCCCATTGTCTCCCATTTTTTAGTTTTAATTATGCCACTTTTCCAACATCCACAAAAGTAAACAGAACGCAAAATGAACCTCCAGGTGCCCATGCTTCAACAATTGCCAACATTTTGGTGATCTCGATTCTCCTCTCTGCCCACCATCCATCCACTTTGGGGCAGAAGGGGGATGCAACATTTTAAAGCAAATGCAAGACATCGTGTCATTTCCTCTGTAAATGCGAAAGAATGCACCTGTTACCTATAAAGCCTTTGCTTTAAGAAGATAAGCACACGCCAGCAAAATTAACCGTAGTTCTCTAGCATCGCCATGATTCTCTGATTTTCTCAAAAACGCTTTATACAGTTGGCTTCGGGAATCAGGAGCCCACAAAGCCCACAGATGATATTTGGTCATTGTGTTTATAGTCCTTACATCTCTTTGATTCCATCACAGCCGCCTCTTCTCTTCTTCCCTCGCTCTTTTATGCCATTGATTTGTTAGAGAAACCAGGTCATTTGCCCCGCATCGTGTCCCACATTCTGCATTTGGCTGATTGCTTCTTTGCGGTAGCATATAACTTGTTTTCCATCCCCCATATCTTCTTGGAAACTGGCAAGATCCGTGTTTTGAAAGCTTCATCCTGGCTTCTGTGTGGAGAACTGATGGCAAGGCGGGAGAGAGGAAGGACAGTGATAGGCTGGGGTCACCCAGGCAGGAGGGAATCATCCCCAGATAATAGCAATGGCCCATGGCTGCGGGGCTGTGTGGGTAGAGAGAAATGGCCCGTTCAAGAGACACTCAGGAAACAGGACCAACAAGACTTGTTAGACTAACTGGAAACGAGTGTGCTTCTCAATGCTCTGTTCAGAATCTGGGCCTCACGATGAGACAAACCAAAGAGGCTGCTCTCTCCTAGAAAAGCATTTACATGTTACTGACGTTCTCCTCACAATTATCATTTATGGTAAGTTTTAAGGGCATACAAAGTTGTAGTATTATTGTTGGTATTAAATTTTATTGCTGTGGCTTTAAAACATAAACAAAAATAATTCCTTAAGTAGTTGGAAATTGTAATGATCCTCTTGGGATTAGATTTTACTGCTATGGATACTGTAAAGCACAAAGATAATAAATTTAAACTGCAGTATTAGTACTGGGAATATAGTTTATTACTTTGGCCAGAACACAAAGAAGCAGGATTCATAAGTCTTTTTTTTGGGGGGGGGGGGGTTCCAGCAGCAGATTTATATGCAACCACACTGGGTCTGGTGTTGGGGAGGATCAGAGGTCACGAGCATCACAGGCCATATGACAAGGTAAGAAACCTGGCCGAAAATCTGATTCTTACAGGCGGTCAGGGAGCTGGAGAGAAGCAGGTCAAGCGACGGGGAGGAGGTGCAGGTGATCACGTGACATCGAGGAAGGTTCGTCTGGCCGGAACTGCTCTGAACCCCCACCTCACGAATGAATGGAGCTGCATCCCACCCACCGGCACACCCCCCAGCATCCCATGCTCCCAGTTGGAGTCCAGCTCTGAAAACAAGTTCTCCAGACCGGGGACTGCTTTGGGTTTGGGCGGTGTAAGGTCTTGTACTTTGCGGACACTGCCTGCGGCTTCCTCTGTGTCCGTCTCAGTGGAAAGGCCACCGGACACCCAGCTGGAAACCTCCACGTGGTTCCTGATGCTCCTCTCCCTCGCCCCTGCACATGGGCAGTCACTGGCCCCGCCAGTCTGCCTCCCCGACATCTATGACATCAGGTGCTCTCTCCCCACCCTGAGGCCACCATCATCTCTCACTGGCATCCCATTCCAGTCTTGGTACTGCCTCAGGTCTCGTCCCTCGCTGTCCACACCCCATGCTCACCATAAGAATCACCACCACCATTTACCGATGAGTAGTAACATGCCAGGGACGGTGCTAAGCATCTTATGTCGGTGTCTCCTTTGCTCCTCACAACTTCCCTGAAGGAGGGATAGCTCTCTTTTCATAAATGGTTAAACTGAGTTCAGATGCTAAATACGAAAAGACATGATGCACTTAGGAAAATCGCCGGACACCGGCAGAACATAAATCTTAGGTCCTTTCTTGCTCTTCGGTACTCCCTGTTGTCATCTCCGCCTCCCTTCCTTCCTTCCTTCCTTCCTTCCTTCCTTCCTTCCTTCCACAAATCACCCCCTTGGCTTGGAACATAAGAGTACTGCCCGTTTCTCCAAACACATCCATCACCTCTACCCCAAGGAACCACAGCTCTCATTAACAAAGTAACTTGCAGCACTTGGAATGCCATTTATTCGTGTTATTCCTCTTATCTAGAATGTAACCTCTTCCCCTGTCATTGTCTACCATTTATCTTTCAAGATTTATTTTAGACATCATCTCCACCAAAAAGCCTACTTTTAAACCATACACTTCAAAACACCCATGAGCATGCAGCATGAGCTCACAAATGCACACACAGCAGATCTGAGGCTCCTCTCTTGGACCCTACTGTCCCCCAGGTGTCTCCCTACCAAAGTGCTTATCATACTGTATTGGAACCATCTACCTTTCTTAGGAACACTTTTCGCTTGTAATTTGCCCCAGGGCAGGGACTGGCTTTTTGTCCGTGACCTCCCGGAATCCAGTACCTGAATTTCGGCACACAGTGGGTGCTCGATGGCATTTGCTGAATGAACGCGGGAGCAAATGAATAGTATAACCTTACCGTGTCACAGCATACTTGGAATGGAGCGAGAAGTTAAAGAAATGAGAAGCTGTGGTAAGTTTGAATCCTCCCAAATGCCAGGGACCCTAACTCCTAACTTCTATGAGCTTCTTGTTTGGGGGCAAACTCCAAAAGTTGCAAGTTACATGAAGCATTTTGCTTTGCAGCTGGTCCCCACCGAGGTCATAAACTCCCAGAAGCAGAGTCTTGGAATTCGGGAATACGGAAAGCGGGAGAAGCTGACAGGAACCAGGCCTCTGACCATGGCTGGTTCCTGCCTCTGTTTGTTTCCATAGAAATGGCCCTCTGATTAGCAAAAATAAGTTCGAGAGTCCTCTACTTTGGTTTCCTTTCTTCTTCCTTTGAGATAACCCCACAAGGCCTAGCTAATTGGAGAAAATGGGCTCGCGGCTACCAGGTAGAATGTTCGAGAAGCTAAATATTCTCCTAGCGACAACAGCGCGTCTCTCCTCCACGCACACGTTGGGCTGCTCCTGTGACAGCTAGCCCGCTCCCATCCGGGGTGAGGTGCTCCCAGCCTTCGGATTACCAATCACCTTCCAAGTCACTTCCGGCAGTTGGGTAACCTTTATGACTGCACACGTTGCTGGGTATTCACGACGGTCCCTATCAAACTGAGATGAATGTGTTCCATAATGTCTGTTTTTATTACATCAGGCTGCAAAGATGAAATCAAAAGCACTACTTTCAACAAAAATGTCCTGTGTGGACAGTTCAATACTCTTTCTACAGGCCCTCATTGTGGGCCAGATAAAGGCTAAACGTGCAGTTACCCGCTAGTTTGACAAGGCTGTTCTCTGGCCAGCAGGTTGCTCAGGCTTTTTTTTTTTTTTTTTCAGAGCAGCCCTCTGATTCCACCAAACCCACTGGATTAACAAAAACCTGAAAGTAAAACACCACAAAATGATATCCCTGCATGAGCTACTATCATACCTTGCATCCTACAATTACACCAGTTCAATCTAAATGCCCCCAAAACATAATTTCATTAATTCAGGCCATTTCAGAACGGCTCGACATTGTCTCGTCTTGGATTTTCCGTTGTTAGTTTTCAGCAGAGAAGGGTGCAGGCACAGGCCACCTTAGCAATGTGGTGAGGAGCCCACGGCACAGTGAAGACGACGGGACAGCGAGCGGCTGGCGGAGGACCGAAGAGGGGAACCGGAAACGTTGATTTGGGGATGAAAAGAAGAAGAGGAAGAAGAAGAAGAAAAGAAAAAAACGAGCGGAGAAGAAGAGGGAAGGAGATCCAGGAGGAATCCCGCGGGCAGGTACACGGAGCTGCACTGGGGTCGCCTGCCTGTGGCTGGCACCGCCCGGGGAGCTGAGAAACACCATGACACCGGGCTGAGCGTCGCCTGCAGACACGGGACCGGGCCTCAGAGCTGCTTTCAAGGCCAGCGTTCAAGGTGTCTTATGGCCTCCGAGTCAAACCCTTTATAGAGATTTCCTCCTGTGACAGAATCCTTGGACCGACACAGATGCACCGTGTGTAGTTAATTTACTTTATCAGAGGGGAAAAAGAAAAAAAAAAAAAAAAGTCCTAACATTCTTAGTGGGTCCAAAATCTTCCTTCTGTAAAATGGCTTTCCGGGCTGGCAAAGAGGATTAGGAGGAAGCTTGTGGAGCTTGGGCACAGACGAGCAACACTTGTACTCTCTCAGGCAGCCCTGTGCCGAGAACGAGAGGGCAGAACGCTGACAAAATATGTCTCAGCGGTTGATTCATTTCGGGGGCAGTATGATGGTCAAGAGGAGGGATTGCGGAAAGAGAAGGACCTTGATTTTAGTATCGGCTTTGCCACTTCCGAACTGGGATGCAGGGTAGGTTCACGTGTGCAAGCCCCCCGTTCCTCCTGTCCATAACGAAGACATGAAAATAGCACCTGCCTCACAGAGTTCCCGCGAGAACTAAACGCCATGGGGCATGTCAGGTGCTTAGCACAGGTCTGGGCCCCGGTTCGCCCTCCAGTGAAGGTTGGATCTCATGATCCGAAGCACAATAAAGAATGACGTTAATAGAATTCGGCTTATGAGTCTATGAGAGCGAGGGAAAGGGATTAAAAGCAATCTTAGGGTTTTGATGCTCAACAGCAAATACTGAGACGCGAAGCCTCATTTTGGTGGGTAGCATCTTTGTAAAATCAGGTGCAAGAATGGGAACGATGCTCTAGAGTGATGGGGATTCCATCTGTGCTTTCCCTTCCTGCTGCTGAGGGTGGATGTTTGCACCGTGAGTAAGGGAGGCACCCAGGAAGTGCTTCGGGGTCGGGTGGGGGATCAGAATGCAGGTGGGGCTGAAGTCAAGGAGGTGAGAAAGAAAGGGCTGGAACGCAGGTCAAGCTGGAAGTTCTTTCCAGAGCCACCAAAGTCTCCTTCTGGAAAATGTCACGCCCTAACCTCGGCGGGCAGCTCTGCCAGGGAGAGGAACACCTGCCCACACGTCCCTCGGGCAGAGCCTGTGAGGGGAGGCAGAGGGTCTTTGGTTATTGTGCGGGCTGAGCCGAGCGACCAGCTGGAGCTCGTGGGCATCGTGCTAGCCTGGATTTCACACTGTTTGCACAATTATGAAACAACAGACAACAGAAAAGGTGCCAATTCACTCTTCAAAGGCACACGGACACCCCTGGTTCCTAGGGCTGGTGTGCAGCACTCAGACATCACAAACACTGATCCCGCTTCCTTCTCCCTGGGGAACCTCATTCCTGCGTAGAACCCTCCCTAGGGGCATGCCCGCGGGCGCCCCGCCCCCGCGGGGGCGCCCCGCTCCTTTGGAGGGAGAAACAGCTCCTGGCTGGTGAGCCATCTAGGACCAAGGATCACCACACACGTTTGTGGCAGCGGGAGCCTTTCGCAAAAGCTGGCCCCTTGGTCTCTTTGCCCTCCCTGGCTGCTGAGGAAGGAAACCAGCTGCATCTCAGAAAACAATTCCACTCAACAAACAATGCAGTGCCCCGACTAGTCATAATGAGGTCTGGTTCAAATGTTGGCACACACACAAAATATTAATTAAAATAACGTGCATGATAAATAATATTGGGATCCGAGGCACAGGCTCGTCTAAAATCACAGTTGGTAATTATGTGAGCGCCTGCGAACACACATTCAGAATTCCAGTGTTGCTTACGTGACAAAATTAGTCTCGGGGAGGTGACCTTGAGAGGTCGCCTCGTGTGAGTATCTTCCTGCTTAGAAACTGAACAATGTCTAAACAACCCTGCAAGAACATCCGTCCTAATTTCCAAGGGCTAGAGGAAGAGATTCCCCGAGAACTCAATAATTCAACTGAATAATAAATATTTGAATACCAACTAGTGTAAGGCTCTCTGCTTATCACTGGGGATAAGGGATGGGGGTGAGGGGGTGAGGGGGCATGGTTCACATTTTTGAGAAGTACTTGGTTAAAAAAAAAAAAAGGAGGGGTGCCTGGGTGGCTCAGTCAGTTAAGTGTCAGCCTCTTGATTTTGGCTCGGGTCCTGATCCCACGGTTCATGGGTTTGAGCCCCATGTTGGGCTCTGCACCGACAGCTTAGACCCTGCTTGGTATTCTCTCTCTCCCTCTCTCTCTCTCTGCCCTCCCCCCCCCACCGCCATCTCAAAACAAATAAATAAACATTTTACAAAAAGAAGAAAAAGAATGAGAAGTAACTAGCTATTGGTTAATACCTGTCCCAGACAAAAAGCCCTTCTGTATGTCTCACCTTAATCTTTCATGTTGCTGTTAAAAGCCCGTTGCCACTCATTTAGTCCTTGACCGAGGACCTCACAGGATTCTAGTTCCAGGGTTTGTAGGGTCTTTATCAGGAACCACGGACTTTGGGGTAGGACTGACGATGAGCAAATATCCCCAGCACTTCTGCTGACAACCGAGATACTGACCATGGTTTCCCACCTCCCGACATAGTGAAGCAATTGTGCTCCATCTACTTAGTCCAGACCTTTTAAATTATTACCAAATTTGACATTTATTGCCCCAGCTAATACGGAAGCCTAACTGGGAAAGGAAAAGACCTCATTATCTTAATTCCAAAACCATTTTCTATTTGTGGCTCAGTCAACATCTCGGCATCTCGTTAAACGTATTTAATTTCATTCCCTCAACAATAACCCACGTACCACACCAGTGACCACAACTTCAAGGGTCCCAGCCCCTAAATTCTATTAGCGTTCAGAGAGCCTCACGGTTGCAACATAATGTTCAATCAGTGCAGAGAAATTAATTAAATTAAAATTATTTTTATTGTGATTTAATTAGCTCGATTTAATTACTTTGTTCACGGCCTGAGCATTCTGTTTACAGCCAGATCCTGCTCTCATTCGCGGCACGAATGTTCCCACAGAATTACACATTTTCTCTGTTCAGCCATTGGAGCGGGCTGGGGGGGTTTGCCAGCAACTCACGATTTATCACAATCAGCATCATCACAAATTATAGGAAGCATCCAGCAATATGATAACTTCTAAATGAAGTGTCGGAAAGCAGGTCATACCACCAGCCTCGGCTGTTAATCCGTCATATTTCATAGTCAACCTGACACCCTGTCCGATCGGCCGTGCCTGCTTCATCGCCGGGCAGCTCCTGGAGCTGTCGCCTCCCAGAGGGGCCCGGGTCCCACGCAGGCTGAAGGCCTGCCCAGCAGCCCTCCGCGGCCTCCCTGCAGCCCCACACGGCGGCCGCTCAAGCGGGTGCTCCCGCTTCCTCTTTCTCTGAGCCAGCGGCCCTGCGCCCAAGGTGCAGCGTCTGAAATGCGGTATTTCCTTCCATGGGTAGGCAGCAAAGCACAGAGCATCGGCGGTCTGTGGCACCCGGGGCCGGAGAGCAACGGCTATTTCCCTGATGGCGCAGCAGCTAATGTCCACATCTGGGAACGCTGTACTTGGGTCACTACTTCAAACCAAGAGCAAGTCTTGGACCCCACAGCAGATCGCGCGTGCTCTCAGCCTCCTTCAGGGCAGGCCGCTGCAAAACACAGGGTGGGACTCCAGCGGGCTGGGCAACAGGGGCTCTCCACACTGGTGTCTCTCAAAAATAACATCGGCTCTAACTTGCCTGTAACTGAAATGTGTCCTCTTGGTTAGGGCACTCGAGGCCGTAGAGGGTTGGTTCCTAACAACTGTATTTCAATAGACTTGGCTTTCCGCATGGGCTTACATGTTTTGTTTCACGTGCTGAAACCATTCTGCTGAGAAAGGAGCCATAGGCTTTGCCAGAATGCTCTAACAACAGAGCCTTGAACGTTTCTGTCCCTGTCTGAGTTTTCTGTGGCGGCTCTAACAGCCACAACCTTGGTGGCTTCAGGCAACAGAAACTTATATTCTCTTACGGTTCTGGGGGCGGAAGTTCAACCTCAGTCTCCCTGGGCAGAAATCACGATGTTGTCAGGCTGTCCTCCCTCCGGGGGCTCTGGAATAGAGTCCATTTCTTGCCTGTTCAAGCTTCTAGTGACTGCCAGCATTCTTTCACTTGTGGCCACATCTTTCCAATCTTTGCTTCTGTCTTTTTTTTTTTTTTCACTGTTTGCTTATTTTTAAGGGAGAGAGCCTGATCGGGGGAGGGGCAGATTGAGGGAGACAGATCCGAAGCAGGCTCCAGGCTCTGAGCTGTCAGCAACGAACCCAACCCGGGGCTCGAACAGATGAACCCTGAGATCATGACCTCAGCTGAAGTCAGATGCTTAACCAACTGAGCCACCCAGGTGCCCCTCTGCCTCTGTCTTCACATCACCTTCTCCTCTTCTGTGTGTGTGAGCTCCCTCTGCCTCTCTTCTAAGGACACTTTGTTTTCTCTTATAAGGGCACTTTTGGTTGCATTTAGGGCCCTACTGGATAATGCAGGGTAATTTCCCCACCTCAAGTGTCTTAACTTAATCACATCATCAAAGGTTTTTGTTCTTGTTTTTGTCAAGTAAGGTAACATTTATAGATTCTGGAGATGAGAGCCTGGTATTCTGGGAGCCACCATTCAGCCCACTACAGTTTCTGTGCTTCCTTAATTCTTTATTGACCATATAATTCTGGCCTTCAGGAAGGGACATAAAATTATTTTGAAGATGTGACAAAATTGGCACCTAATTAAAATAGATGTCCATGCCAAAGCCCTTTGAAATAATTAGATAAGAGTTAATGGGATGGTTAAAGAGAATGTAAGTCCTTTAAAAATTTCATGGGGCGCCTGGGTGGCTCAGTTGGTTAAGCGTCCGACTTCAGCTCAGGTCACCATCTCCCGGTCAGTGAGTTCGAGCCCCGCGCCGGGCTCTGGGCTGATGGCTCAGAGCCTGGAGCCTGCTTCCGGTTCTGTGTCTCCCTCTCTCTCTGCCCCTCCCCTGTTCATGCTCTGTCTCTCTCTGTCCCAAAAATAAATAAACATTAAAAAAAAAAAAAAATCAGTTTTCACCAAGGCCTAGGAGAGAATCAGGCCTGCTTCTTCACGGCCAGGGGAAGAAAGTGCAGGCTTTGCAAACCTCCCTGCTGGAGCATGCTTGGTTCTCGGGCCCAGACTGTCCTGGAGAGCTTGGGTG